AAGCAAGCTCAGGGTGGATCTCAGGATCACCACGCATTCTGAGCACAAGCAAGCGGCCACAAGGCCAGTTCACATGCAGTTTTATAATAGAGCAAGTAGTATAATGATTACAACCTAGTAACCAGAAACATGCAGGTTTATATATCAAAGTACAAGACAAGATCAAGAGACAAGCAGTGTTGGCTCGTATGGCCACGTACAAAGGCGAAGCTGGGAACGCTGCTGCAACACTCGCACGGCAAAGGAACGAAGTGCAAAGTGCTACGTTCTGCTCGCTAGTCTGACCAGGTAGCGCAACACCCTCCTAGCAGCCCGCCAGTGCGCAGGATGGTACACCAGCTCGAACTGCGTGTCCTCAAGGACGTCATAGCCAAGGGCAAACTCACCCCCAACGGACGGAGGACACGAAGAGACAGTGACGAGACCAGAAAGGTAGGTACGACGACAAGTAGCGGCAAAACCAGTGAGATCAGCTACTAAGGCAGAAGCAGCAGCAGACGAAGAAGCAGGTGCAGTCACAAGCGCGGCTAGACTACGAGGGACAGTCGGGCTGGCAGCACGAGCAAGGTCAGACGCAGGGTCAGGAACAGGAGGAAGAGAAGACGGGGGAGGTGACGGCAGGACAACAGGCTCCCGAGTAACACGAGAGGGAGCAGGGGAGGCGGCACAAGACACAGGCTCCCGACGCCCAGTCAGGAAGACGGACAACGGGACGTATCGAGCAGGAGCAGGCAGTGGGGATGCAGGCGGCGGAAACAACAGAGGAGTAGTACAAGTGGGCGTCGGCTCAGGTAGCCACGACGACGGCTGCTCAAAGAAGATAGACTGCCGTGGCAGCAACTGCAACGCACCCCCAGACCCAGCACCTCTAGCGCCAGTACCCCCAACTCCACCAACAAGAGGACTCCTAGCACCCCGAGAGGCAGCACCCCCAGAACTAGCACCCCCAGAACCAAAACCCTCAGCGTCACCACCCCCAACAACACCTGGGCCCCCGAAGTCCGCAGCGACAAGCTGCAGAGGAGGCGAAGACGTCCGGGGCGGAAAACCCGGAGGTGTCTCCAAGCGCGGTGAGCGGCGAGAGGTCGCTGTGTCGGCAGCAGTAGGGTCATCCCCCTCGCTCGAGCCAGAGGAGGCAGAGGGGACTACGAGACACGGGAGAACAGTGGAGGGGTGCGCATAGACTGTGCTAGTAGGCGCACAAGCAGCGACACACAAAGGCTCAAACTCCTGGTGCCCGCCCCCGCCACTCCCGCCAGCTCCACTACGACCCTCGTTAGCTACAGTGGTGAGGTCTGACAGCGCAGGGAAGGTAAGAGGCAGCGCAAGACAGCCTAGGACTGCAGGAGAGGGGGGGGAGTAGCGCCTAACCACAGTGGAATACAAAGCATGGGCCGACGGCACCTGACTCCTGGGGAAGAAGGCTCGCTGGTCGAACGAGAGGTGAAGGCGGACTGCAAGTGAGGCGGCAGCGTCTCGCGCCATCCACCGGTTGTAGGCAAGGTGAGCTGCGCGGAACTGCGTCCGCTCCTCCTCCTCAGCGTCAGCAGTAGGTTCAGCAGGAGCCTCTGGGGCCGGAAGGGACCCCGACGTGTGCTCGAACAGGGAGACGTTGTCCCGTTTAACACTCCGGAGGTACAGGTGCAGCCCCTCTAGCCAGGAGTCAAACCCTAAAGGTTGCCCCACTGCGTCAAAGGCTAGAACAGTGGGAGTCGCCATAGCAGGACGAACGGCAGCAAGCAGCAGGAGTGGCAGTTACGGCAGCAGCGGCAGCACAGGTGGCAGTAGCAGCGCAGGCGGCAGCAGCAGCTCAGGCGGCAGCAGCAGCTCAGGCTACAGTAGCAGCCTAGCAGCAGCAGCAGCGCAGGCGGGAGCAGCAGCTTAGCAGCAGCACCAGCGCACCAGCAGCAGCACAGGTGGCAGCAGCAGCGCAGGCGGCAGCAGCAGCTCAGGCGGCAGCAGCAGCCTAGCAGCAGCAGCAGCAGCAGCTGAGCAGTAGCAGTAGCGCAGCAGTAGCAGCAGCGCAGGCGGCAGCAGCAGCAGCGCAGCAGCAGCAGCAGCAGCACAGGTGGTAGCAGCAGCGCAGGCGGCAGCAGCAGCCTAGCAGCAGCAGCAGCTGAGCAGTAGGAGCAGCTTAGCAGTAGCAGCACAAGTGGCAGCAGCAGCCTAGTAGCAGCAGCAGCGGCGGCACGAGTGCAGGGGGCAGGGCAGCACTAATGCACGGAGCGGCTCGGCTTAGCAGGGCGGCTCGAGCAGCAGCAGCAGGTTAGCAGCAGTGCAGCAGCAAAGGCACGGCAGCCGCGCGTGCAGGGCAACAGCGCGGAGCAGGGCAGGGCAGCCGCGCGTGCAGAGCAACAGCGCAGCGCAGGGCAATAGCAGCAGTGCAGCAGCAGCAGCAGCACAGGCGGCAGCAGTAGCTTAACAGCAGCAGCAGCAGTGACAGCTCGGGTTGGGCGGCGCGGCTCGGACAGGGCGGCGCAGCTCGGGCTCAGTGGCGGAGCAGCAGCGGCAAGCAGCAGCAGCAGCAGCCGGCGCTCAGTGGCAGCAGCAGCAGCAAGGAGGAGCAGCTGCAGCAAGTAGCAGCAAGGAGGAGCAGCTGGAGCAAGTAGCAGCAGCAGTAGCAGGAGCAGTAGCAATAGGAGCAGCAGCAGCAGCAGGAAGGCAGTGCAGTGCTGCTCGGGCAGGGCGGCGCGGCTCGGGCTCAGTGGCGGAGCAGAAGCGCCAAGAAGCAGTAGCAGCCGGCGCTCAGTAGCAGCAGCAGCAGCAAGGAGGAGCAGCTGCAGCAAGTAGCAACAAGGAGGAGCAGCTGGAGCAAGTAGCAGCAGCAGTAGCAGGAGCAGTAGCAACAGGAGCAGCAGCAGCAGCAGCAGGAAGGCAGTGCAGTGCTGCTCGGGCAGGGCGGCGCGGCTCAAGCAGGGCAGCGCGGCTCGGTGCGGTTTGGGCAGGGCAGTGCGGCGTGGCGCAGCTCAGTGCAGCAGCGCGTGCAACAGCAGTAGCAGCATAGTGCAGACGGCAGCAGCACTGCAGCAGCAGTTCAGGCGCAGCAGCAGCAGCGAGTGCAGCAGTAACACGGGCCGCGTGCGGGCCAGGCATGGGCTGTAAGGGCTGCGTGCGGGCCTGGCGCGGGCTGTACGGGCTGCGTGCGGGCCTGACGTGGGCTGTACGGGCTGCGCGATGGCCTGGCGCGGGCTGTACGGGCTTCGCGACGGGCCTACGCGGGCTGTAATGGCTGCGCGCGGGCCTGGCGTGGGCTGTACGGGCTGCGCGACGGCCTGGCGCGGGCTGTACAGGCTGTGCTCGGGCCTACGCGGACTGTACGGGCTGCGCACGGCAGAAAAGGGCAGGGCAGCGCGAAACGTTGGGCAGGGCAGAAACTAACAGTCGGGCAGGTGAAAACGAATGTGTTGGGCCCTTAATTGCGGTCCTAGGCTAGGAACGTCCTAGCTCTGATACCATGTTGAGATAGGTAGGAAGGAATGATGTGGATTAGGGCTAGGAGGGGGATACAATGAAGTGTCGAGCAACTTACTGTACCCCCTAAGGCTAAACCCACTACAGCCTAGATAACAGTAAACATATAATTTGACATCGAAATGCCTGCCCGTCGCCCCGTCGCCCCGTGATCGTTGGCCCCTCTCGCTTTTCCCTCGCATCCTTACTCTCCCCGTCACATATGCCCTCGCTTTTTTCGTCGCTCCTCGCAGCACCCTCATCGCCGCCTTCCCATCACCCTCGTTGCCCTCACTCTTCCCCCAAATCGTCCCGTCTCCCTTTCGTTCTCCCGTCGCCCTAGATGCAGCCGTCGCAATTTCCTCTCCCCTCACAATTTGTCTTTCCTCCCCGCCTCCCGTTCCTCTCTCCCCTTCCATCCTGTCCTTCCTCTCTACCCTCCCATCCCGTCGTTCCTCCTCTCTACCCTCCCATCCCGTCTTTCTTCCTCTCTCCCCTCCCATCCCGTTGTTCCTCCTCTCTTCCCTCCTATCCCGTCGTTCTTCCTCTCTCCCCTTCCATCCCGTCGTTCCCCCTCTCTCCCCTTCTCTCCCGTCGGCCCCCTTGTCCCCAGTCCCTTCTCTTCGCCGTCGACCAATCAACCGTCCCGACACCATTCCTCTTTTCGTACATCATTCATTTCTTTATTTCAATCTTCTTCGCCTGATTTCACCTGTGTGCGCCATGGATTTTGCTTGATCATGCCAGTGTTTGCGCAGGATTTTGCTAGTTTTTGCCTGTTTGCGCGCTGGATTTTGCCTGTGTGTGCGCTGTTTTTTGCACATAGGAATTCTTGTGAAGTTACGACGGCTGCTCTGTTGAATGTGGGATTGCAGCCTTGCGCCAAATTCGTACAGGAATCTGGGTGAAAATCTCCACCAATCAGATTTGTAGACAAGTACATCATGTTTTCCGTTCAGATCAAGACTCGTCTGGGATGAAAAAACGTAAGAACGCACAGGCCGTCAACTTTTCAAACGTTCGTAACAAACTTGTGTTTTCAAGTGGACCCAACTAGAAGGGGGGGGTCACTATTTTAGCTGCTGGCTTTAATTGTACCCCAACCCTCGTATGGTAGTTCATTCATTCTTCTCTCTTGGTATAGAGCGGGATTTCAATTTCATGGGCCCACCGCCCCGCACCCAGTATCGCCTAGCCCGTCGCCCTGCGGCCCGTAGCCTCGTATTCAGTCGCACTCCGCACCCAGCTCGCACCCCACAGCCCGTCGTCCGTCCGCTGTCCTGTAGCCCACCATTCCTTTTAACTGTATAGTCGAAATGATTTCTCCTTACACTTTTCAGACACCTCAAAACATACGGTAGGATAAAGAAGCTTGTGCTTTCTACCATGATAGACATGCTCTAAAACAAAACCGGTAACCAACATGCGTCACAAGGATTTGTGGTAGCTACGATTGGGAAAAGGTTGTGTTTAGAAGCAATTCAAAACAATTGTGCACTAACTATTGATAACCACCGTTTAAATATTTCACGAGGTGGCTGTACTTTATTCTACTTGGGCAGACACAAGGCTTCCACAAAGAGTTTCGCTATGATAGCTGGCTTGGTGGGTGTAGCTTTGCACTGTAGACAGAAGGCATGCTTGTGCTCGATGCTTACTCCCCAGATGCTAGCTCTGTGGGCCCACGGAAAACAGAATAAAAAAGAAGAGAAGAAATAAGAAATGGACCAGTTTGCGTGCATAGAGCGTGAAAACTGCATGCAGTGATATGAGGGATGCTTGCAAGCATGTTCGTACTCAAAACTTGGTAAGCCTGTTAACCCCAGAACCCAAAATCTGGAAAACCTGGACGCTCTCGTGGGGGGAGGGGGGACCGGGACACAGTCTCACATGAAACCTGAATACACATGCGTGCATAGACCTCACGTGAGGCAAACGATGAACCATTCACTTTCAAAGGATTTCAAAAGCAACACAAGCATACCATGACCTGGAAGCTGTGATGTGAGGTGACCACCGCTACTACCAGCTTCTCTCCTTTTTGTCTCTCCTCTCTCTCACTTGGCTCTGTGGCATTCACATGGCCTCTGTTGTTTTCTCCTGAGCTCTGGTACCTGAGCTCTGGTGATTTTACCTGAAATCTGTGATTTTCACCTGCAGGCGGTGCAGCTGGCGCCGGCCACGCAGTGCAGCTTCACGAGGCGAGTGCTGGAGCGGCCGTGGTAGTACCACCCTCCCACGAACGCATTCGCTCCCCTCTGGTGTGGTGGTGGGCAATGGGTGGTGGGTGGTGGGTGGTGGGAGATGGGTGGTGGGCGGTGAAGAAGAGAAAAAGAAGCAGAAGAGTTTAGAGGAGCGGCCGTGGTAGTACCACCCCCCCCACAAATGCGTTCGCCCCCCGCTGGTGTGGTGGTGGGTGGTGAACAGGAGATAAGGAAGGGAAAAAATTTAGAGGATCAGGCTGGTTGGCCATGCAGTGCAGCTTCACCAGGCACGTGCTGGAGGTGACTCTTGAGTCGACTCAAAAGGCACGTGCTGGAGGTGACTCTTGAGTCGACTCAAAAGGCATGTGCTGGAGGTGACTCTTGAGTCGACTCAAAAGGCATGTGCTGGAGGTGACTCTTGAGTCGACTCAAAAGGCACGTGCTGGAGCGGCCGTGGTAGTACCACCTCCCACAAACGCACTTGCTTCGCGCTGGTGGGTGGTGGGTGGTGTTGTGTGTGTTGTGAGTGGTGGAATGAATGAGAGAGAAAAGGGTTCAGGGGAAGGACTTTGGACAGGACAAGGCAGTATGGCTGTTAGACCAATGCTGGCACCGCACAAGGAGTGGGGGGAAGGGGGGGCAAGAGAGCATGAGTGACCTGGGCGACACAAGGGCGAAGGGAGGCACTTTGTAGCCATAGGTGGGGGAGGGGAGAACTGACCAGGGCATGCAGGGGTGGAGGGAAGGGAAATGAATGGCCTGGGTGGGATGAGGTGGGAGAGAAGGGGATTGACTGACCTGGGTAGGAGCGGGAGGGAGGGCGGCGAGCAGGAAGACATCAGCAAAGAGCTTTGGATGCCACGCGGGGGCACGGCCACAGAAGCTGATGGGCGGAGGGGTGATGGGGGTGACGGGGTGATGGGGGTGACGGGGTGATGGGGGTAATTGGGTGATGGGGGTAATTGGGTGATGGGGGTAATTGGGTGATGGGGGTAATTGGGTGATGGGGGTAATTGGGTGACGGAAGGGGTTGAAGTAATGGGTTTGGGGAGGGCGGCGAGCAGGAAGGCGTCGTCGGCAAAGAGCTTCGGATGCCACGCGGGGGCACGATCACAGAAGCTGATGGGCGGTGGGGTGGTGGTGGGGTGGAGGGGGGGTGGGAGAAGTGATGGCTTGGGAGGGGAAGAGAGAGAGTTCAAAGCGGTCGGTGAGGTAGAGGATGAGGTATGCACAAGAGGAAGAGGTAGAGGATGAGGTATGCACAAGAGGAAGAGGTAGAGGATGAGGTATGCACAAGAGGAAGAGGTAGAGGATGAGGTATGCACAAGAGGAAGAGGTAGAGGATGAGGTATGCACAAGAGGAAGAGGTAGAGGATGAGGTATGCACAAGAGGAAGAGGTAGAGGATGAGGTATGCACAAGAGGAAGAGGTAGAGGATGAGGTATGCACAAGAGGAAGAGGTAGAGCAATCGGAGGAAGAGGAAGGAGGTTCACGCGCAGAAGGCATGGCCGTGAACGAGCAAGAGTACCCAGTGCGAGTGGAGGTGAGGGGAGGACATGCAAGCAGTGACTTACCGCACACAGGAATGCGACTCACGCACACACAAGAGGAAGGAGGCGGGAGGCTCACGCACAGAAGACGTGGGCACCCAGTGCGAGTGGCCGTGAGAGGAAGCCACTTAATTAGCATATTACGCACACGCAACGCAAGGACTGTGACTCACCGTCACGTGCACTCGCACGCGCAAGGGAGGAAGGGGAGGGAGCTCACGCGCCCGTGGAAGAGAGACACCACCCAGTGTGAGTGGCCGTGATGGGAGGACACTTTATCAGCAACTCACGCACAGGAAGGGGCGGCACGACTCACGCGCAGAAAACATGGCCGGAAGAGCGACACCACCCAGTGCGAGTGGCCGTGATGGGAGGAGGAGGGGGGTGGCCCATGCGCAGATGCAAAACAAAAGTCTCCTTGCAACTCATGCGTAACAAAAGTCTCCTTGCAACTCACGCGCAGAAGACGTGGCCGTGGAAGAGAGACACCACCCAGTGCGAGTGGCCGTCCGCCTCCTTGGTGCCAAAGCACGTGCACGCCGCTCCTGTGTCGCTGCCGTGCCTGTGGTGTGGTGGGCAGAAAGTGACCGAGAAAGGGAGACGGTGAGCGGAAACAGGGACCGGGATTCGGGAAAGACGAGGGTGCAAGTCTTTTCCCACTCTCGCAGCTGAACACACACAGCATCGCATGATTGCCGCCCCGCCCTGCTCCCCATGCCGTCCCTCCAGGTCCTCCTCCTCTCGTAAATACAACTCGTCAAACCCCCTCACTCGCTCATATCTCCCATCCCACTCACCAGTTACCCTGTTACTGCATTACCAGGGTGGACGTCACAGAGTTGCTTGAAGATTCCACACCCACAGTTACATCCACGTGCAGCCAGCTACCCTGTTACCAGCTCACCTGCTCACCGCAGATGCACTACATGCAGCTGTTTACTCCGTTACACCAGTGGTCCAGCTGGTTACCCGGTTACCACTGCACCCACTCACCGGTACACCACGTCCAGCCTATCCTCTTCCACGAGCGATTTCGCTCCTCCTCCTCCCGCCCCTCCCGCTCCCATCCCGCCTCCTGCCCCCTGCGATGCCTCGCCCCCCCCCACCACCACACTCTGCCTGCCGCACCATGGGCCGCGCACTGATCAGCCACGCCCTTCCCGTCCCAAACCCCAAACCGCCAACCCCTTCCCTCCCACTCACCGGTACACCACGTCCAGCCTGTCTTCCTCCACCAGCGATTTCGCCCCGCCTGCTCCTGCGCCTCCTCCTGCCGCCCCTCCCACTCCCGGAGGCGTCTCATGCCCCGCACCCCCCACCACCACGCTCCTGCGCACCATGGACCGCGCACTGATCAGCGACGCCCTTCCCGTCCCAAACCCCTTCCCCCCCACTCCAGCTCCCCCTCCCATTCCCGCTCCCGCTCCCGCTCCTCCCATGCCTCCCACTCCTCCCCCAACTCCCATCCCCCCGCCCACCATCGCCCCCATCATTCCCGCCAGCCCTCCAGCCATTCCCCCCGCCGTTGCCGCCCCACCGCGCACCTCCCTAATCTCCTCCGTATCCGAACTAGACGTGTACCCAGCGGCGAGAGCCGCAGCAGCGGGGTTGAGAATGCCAGAAGCGGCGGCGGCGGCGGCAGCAGCGGCGGAGGCGGCGGCGGCCTTGCGTTCGTCCTTCCAGGGGAGGTGGTGCCAGGGCGAGCCGGGCGGCAGAGTGATGCCGAGGAAGTCGAGCTCCGAGCGCAGGCGGTAAAAGTCTTCGTCATTCATCCATGGCAAGGCCTCCAGACTAATTGGGTGGAGGGGGGAGGGGGTTGAGAGGGTGAGAGAGGGGAAATGCCTTAGGCTGTGCAGAGGCAGAAGCAGAGGCGGCAGCAGCAGCGGCAGAGGCGGCGGCGGCGGCCTTGCGTTCGTCCTTCCAGGGGAGGTGGTGCCAGGGCGAGCCGGGCGGCAGAGTGATGCCGAGGAAGTCGAGCTCCGAGCGCAGGCGGTAAAAGTCTTCGTCATTCATCCATGGCAAGGCCTCCAGACTAATTGGGTGGAGGGGGGAGGGGGTTGAGAGGGTGAGAGAGGGGAAATGCCTTAGGCTGTGCAGAGGCAGAAGCAGAGGCGGCAGCAGCAGCGGCAGAGGCGGCGGCGGCGGCCTTGCGTTCGTCCTTCCAGGGGAGGTGGTGCCAGGGCGAGCCGGGCGGCAGAGTGATGCCGAGGAAGTCGAGCTCCGAGCGCAGGCGGTAAAAGTCTTCGTCATTCATCCATGGCAAGGCCTCCAGACTAATTGGGTGGAGGGGGGAGGGGGTTGAGAGGGTGAGAGAGGGGAAATGCCTTAGGCTGTGCAGAGGCAGAAGCAGAGGCGGCAGCAGCAGCGGCAGAGGCGGCGGCGGCGGCCTTGCGTTCGTCCTTCCAGGGGAGGTGGTGCCAGGGCGAGCCGGGCGGCAGAGTGATGCCGAGGAAGTCGAGCTACGAGCGCAGGCGGAAGAAATCCTCATCGTTCATCCATGGGAGGGCTTCGAGGCTGGATTGGGTTGGGGAGGGTGGGGTTGGGAAGCTAAAGAGCGGAAGGGTGTGGGGAGGAGGAGTGGGGATGTGGAAATGGGGGGAGAAGGGAGTTGAGCTCAGAGCGCAGGCGGAAGAAATCCATGGGAGGGCCTTCTGACTGGATTGATGAGGAGGAGATTGAGTGGGGGTGAGGAGGGAAGAAAGACAGTGAGGCAAGGAGGAGCAGTGGAGCTCCAAATGCAGGCGGAAGAACTCCTCATCGTTCATTCAGGGGAGAGCCTCCAGGCTGGTTGGAGGAGGAAGGGGGAGGGCGGGGAGGGTGGGGTAAGGGGCAGCAGTGGAGCTCGGAGCGCTTGCAGAAGAAGTGCTTGTTGTTCATCCATGGGAGGGCCTTCAGAGTGGGGAGGAAGGGGTCGGGGGAGGGGGAGGGGAGGGCGGAAGAGGAAGGTGGGGAGAGGAAGGGGGGTGTGGAGGGGAGGAGGGGGGTAAAAAGGGGTTGTACGAAGCAGTTGAGTTGTGAACGCAGGTGGAAAAAAAAAAAAACATCATTCATCCACTTCAGGGCTTTTAGACTGGTAGAGGGGAGAGTGGGGGAGTGGGGGGGGGGTATGGAGGGGTTGAGAGGAACAGGCACAGTGGGGGAGGAGGAGGGGGAGATGGGGTGGTGTGAACAAGCGCATTAGGGCACCTGCCCTTCCAAGGGAGGTGGTGGTGCCTCCAAACTGGTGGAGGGGAGAAGGAGCGAGGGCTGATGGCGAGTGAAGTGCAGGGTGTTTGGGGGTTGGGTGGGGCGGGGAGGGGGAAACGAGGAGAGCACACGTTAACCATATTACTGGATGTTGCCGTACCTGCAGCAACACCGTACGTGCAGCAGTGCCGTACTTGTGGTGTTGTAGTTCTGCTGCCGTACCTGCACCACAGTGCCGTACCTGCACCACTGCCATACCAGTGGTACTGCCAAACTTGTGGTAGGGTGCCGTACCTGCTACAGTTGCCGTACCTGTGGCACGCTGCCATACCTGTGGCACTCTGCCATGCCATGCCTGCGGTACTGCCACCTACACCAAAGCGCCGTACCTGTGGTACTGCACGACGGTGAGCACAGCGCCGTACCTGTGGTACTGCACGACAGTGAGCACAGCGCCGTACCTGTGGTACTGCACGACAGTGAGCACAGCGCCGTACCTGTGGTACTGCACGACGGTGAGCACAGCGCCGTACCTGTGGTACTGCACGACAGTGAGCACAGCGCCGTACCTGTGGTACTGCACGACAGTGAGCACAGCGCCGTACCTGTGGTACTGCAAGACAGTGAGCACAGCGCCGTACCTGTGGTACTGCACGACGGTGAGGACGCGGGAGAAGGTGGCTTCATCGCAGTCCAGCATGAACGACAGCTCCTCGTCCTCTGATGCGTCCTCTGGTGTCTGCACGCATGCACGGAGAGGGCAGACGTCACAGGGCACAGGGCACAGGGCACAGGGCAGACGGCACAGGGCACAGGGCACAGGGCACAGGGCAGACGGCACAGGGCACAGGGCACAGGGCACAGGGCACAGGGCACAGGGCACAGGGGAATTGTGACACCACACGTCTCAAAAGCAGTCCATCCAGTGAAGCTCAAGAGCAGTCCAGCATGAACGACAGCTCCTCGTCCTCTGATGCCTGCTGTCAGTCACAGCACAAGCCACAGGGCCATTGCAGGGTTGGCTAGTAAGATAGTTAAAAATCTCCCTACCACACCGCGCCACACCACACCACACCATACCACACCACACCACACCACACACACACACACACACACACACACACACACACACACACACACACACACACACACCACACCACACCACAACACACCAGGCCTTGCCACCAAATGCGCCACCACATCACGCCACGCAACACAACGACACATCACATCACGTCATTCCGTGCCACGCCATCAGATGCCACGTCACCTGCAGCTTGCCATCTGGCGCTGTGGTCTCCAGCTGCTTGCGGAAGAAGGGGATCTTCATGAGCAGCGCCCTGGTCACGCGAAACAGTTGCATCTGAGGGAGGTAGAACCGGGGGAGGCATGAGCGGGGAGGATATGATGGGGAGGTATGAGGGGGGAAGAAGGGGATCGTCATGAGCAGCGCCCTGGTCACGCGAAACAGTTGCATCTGAGGGAGGTAGAACCGGGGGAGGCATGAGCGGGGAGGATATGATGGGGAGGTATGAGGGGGGAAGAAGGGGATCTTCATGAGCAGCGCCCTGGTCACGCGGAGCAGTTGCATCTGAGGGAGGTAGAACCGGGGGAGGCATGAGCGGGGAGGATATGATGGGGAGGTATGAGGGGGGAAGAAGGGGATCTTCATGAGCAGCGCCCTGGTCACGCGGAGCAGTTGCATCTGAGGGAGGTAGAACCGGGGGAGGCATGAGCGGGGAGGATATGATGGGGAGGTATGAGGGGGGAAGAAGGGGATCTTCATGAGCAGCGCCCTGGTCACGCGGAGCAGTTGCATCTGAGGGGGGTGCGGGGGGGGGAGGGGGGGGAAGCAAACCTGGGGGAGGAGGGAAGACACGATGGGGAGGTATGAGGGGGAAGAAGGGGATCTTCATGAGCAGCGACCTGGTCACTCGGAACAGTTGCATCTGGGGTAGGTAGAGCAGGAATGAGGGGGGAAAAGTCGTGAGAGAAGGGAAGCAGTGGGAGACTCAAGTGGGGGAGGTATGAGGGGGGAAAGACATGAGTGGGGAGGGCATGAGGGGGAAGAAGGGGATCTTCATGAGCAGCGCCTTGGTCGGTCTTCCAGTTGCATCTGGGCGGAAGAAGGGGGCAGGCATGAGCGGGGAAGCAGCAACGGGGGAGGTATGGGCGGGTGGAGGTATGACCGGGGGAGGTATGACTGGGGGTAGCACGAGAGCAAGAAGAGAATTTCCATGAGCAACGCCTTGGTCGCGCGGAGCAGTTGCATGAGGGGGAGGGGAGGTCGCACTGGGGGAGGCATGAGGGGGGAAAGACATGAGAGGGGGGAAGTAGTACTGGGGTAGACACGAGGGGGGAGGTATGAAAGGGAAAGTCATGAAGGGGAGGGCATGAGGGGGGGAGCATGAGGGGGGGACACTACAGAGGAGGCATGAAAATTTAGAGGCATTGGAGGGGATGGAACGAGAGGGAAGACATGAAGAGGGGGACATGAAGAGGAGAGACATGAGCGGGAATAGGAATGAGGGGTGAAGGGGCACGAAGAAGGGAAAGGCATAAGATGATGAAAGAGAATCATTAGGTCGTTCGACCGAGTGGGGGAAGGGAGGGAAGCTGGGGAAGAAGGTGTGAGTGAGGGTTGCCAGAGGTGGGGGGAGCTGGCACGGGGAGGTGGCATGAAGAGGTGGCACGGGGAGGTGGCATGAAGAGGTGGCACGGGGAGGTGGCAGGGAGGAAAAGAATGGCGTGGCATGGCTGGCATTATGGGAGATAAGACTGACTGGAGATGATCGGGGAGAGTAGGAGAAGAAGGAAGACGAGACAGAAAAAGGGAAGGAAAAGGAGGGGAGGGAAAAGAGAGGAGTGAGGGGAGAGAAGGGAAAGGAGAAGGGAGCGATTCGAGCGGAGTGACAACAGCACGAACGAAGGAGGAAAGGGGCAACAGGGAGCAAGACATTGCGCAATGCCACCACGCCATTATCTTAGGAAGACTACGAGTGTACAACTGAACCCTAATCGCTTCGTGTTACACTTTCCGTAATTAATTCTTATCCTTACTTCGCGCAATCCCTTCGACAGTGTTCTTTATCATGAATTGACATCAAAATGCATGCACTCCGACGCACCTTGGGCCCCACGTACACCGCGATTCCGCTGACGCCAACGCTCTCCGTGAAACTCCCCACAGACCTTGACGGCGTCAGCATCGAGTTCAGTTGCGCTATTAACGAAGGTGCCGATAACGGGCGCGGCAAACCCCCAACCTGCTGATACCCCATCAACCCGCCAGTGCTGTTGCGGCTAAACGCTTCCGCATCCTCGCCCTCGAACCCTTCAGGAAGCTTCACGTCGCTGGCGAACGAAACCACGCGATGTGTGTTCGGCGAAAGTAACAGCCCTCGCTTGCCCCGCGCGTCGTAGCTCGTGCTCACGCGCATCGGCCGCGGCTCGTCCGCGCCCGCGGCGCCTTTAACGCGCTCGTAATGCGGAGCCGTGGTGGATCGTTGCACGCGCTGCAAAGCCGGCGCCTCGTCCTCGTCCTCCTCCTCTTCCCCTTCCCCCTCCCGCTCTCCAGCGCCCGCTTCCTCCCCCTCTCCCTCGTTCCCACCCTCCTCGTCCCCCTCCGGCGGCGCCGCCCGCTCCTTTCTCGCAGCCGCGCTTTTGCGCGTGGAGGCGGAAGGCGCGGACGTGGCGGCGGTGGAAGGCGGTTCCGCGGGTGCTGCTGCTAATACTGCCGCGTCGCCCGCGCCATCGTCCGACGCCGTGGTGACGGCGGAAGCGCTTGACAGCGAGTCCGCGGAAGAGTTCGCCTTATGGCGCGACCGGCGGGAGCCGCCGCTTTGCGAGCCGCTAGCACGCGCGGACTGTTCGCGGGTACTGGATTGGTCTACGGCGTTAGTAGTAGTAGGCTGGTCGGGGGAGGAGGAGGAGGTGTTTGAGCGAGGCGACTTGGGCACGCGGAGGCTGCCTGGCTGCGAGGCGCGCGACGCGCGCGACGACGAGGAGGCGCCGGAGGAGGAAGACTTGCGCGGCTCCTTCGTGCGGACGGGCTTGAAGGAGCGGGCGCTTCCGCTCTCGCTGGACGGGCTGGGATTGGTGGAGAGACCCGCCGGCGGTAACTCTCCGTTGGCCTCCAGCGCCGCTGCGAGTTGCGGGGTTGCGGGGTTGCCGGATGGCAGGGTTGCGGAACAGGATAGGGAGCAGGGACGGGGAGCACGGATGGACAGGAAAAAAAACGTGAAGAGGTTTGGTTTGAAGTTGTCCATGATTGGCGCGAAAGGCGGTAAGGTGAGACGACAGGAGAAGGAGAGGGGAGGGAAATGAAGTAGGGGTAACAAGTCGGATGGAGGCACGTCAAGCAGGCATGGGAACAGGTATGGAGGTAGGGCTCGTGTCAATGTGTATCACTACAACATGGGAACAGGTATGGAGGTAGGGCTCGTGTCAATGTGTATCACTACAACATGGGAAAGCAGGCATTGGAAGCAGGTAGAGAGCTCGTGCAAAGGTTGGCGCGATGGTCTAGAAGAGCATATGAGAAGAGGCGAAACGACATCCTGGAACGGCGGGCGAGGAAGTTAACAGCGGGAAAAGCGGGCGTGCAGGAGAGGCATTATCGTACCGTGACCGATGGTGACTGGCATTGGGTCTGACGCTTCAGCCTGAGCTGGCGATGCTCCTAGCAGTGGCGACGGGTCTCACGGCAGAACACTGTTGCTCGCGCACAAGCTTTACCAGTTGGTGGTGGCGAGGGACGGTGACCTAACCTAAACCGCCGCTTTCTTAGCTCTCTGACTGTACAATTTGTCTGTCACGTGCCCGAACGTGGCGACCGTGGCGGACGTCACTCAAGAGATATATTACGGTTTTGCCCAATCAAGTTCAATCATGCAGCAATGCCGACCATCACGAGGGCCATGCGGTTGGGTACGGAGAGTTATGGGTGGTGCGCTGCTCAAAATTGGGTTGGGAGGACTTTGTTGCTCTCTTCATTTCTACTACTGTAAAGGCGACTGCGGGATAGCACGCTTGAGGATGGATGCAACCTAACCACACTTCCCGAAGGCGCGAAAGGTTACTCTGGACGAAGTACGGACAGATAGGAGGAGGACCGTCGCACAGCATTGGCTGACACCTAACGACCTACACGGGAAGATAGGACCACTGAGCTGCTTTCGCAAACCCAGTTACACTTCCGTATCAAGCTCGATTTTATACCCGCAGACCCGCGTTCATGGGGCGAGCACGCGGGCCCGACAAAGCGCGTTGCTTTGGCGAAAGCGACAGTGTCTCAAATTCGCACTGACTTCCAATATGCAGCAAATCGACGACTTTCTCGACGGTACAGTAACACGACGCGGGAAATCGTCGATCTCAATCGATCGACGGTTGAGACCCGCAACTTGTTACAGTCGGTGCCCATTTCAAGAACACCAGGTAGGCGGGCGGCATGTGCGTGAAACGTGTTCGAGACATTTCGCCATGTTCGCCCTTGTCGCCACTGACAAAAATGTGACTGTAATATGAAATTGCAACGTGAATCGAGTCAAGGGTTTTAATTTCGTAACCAGGTTAACTTCTCTGATGACGGGCAACCGTTGTTGTTTATGAACTGTAGATGTTTTTCTTCCTCAACTTGGTGACTACACCCTATTCTCGATAATTTCACACTCCCCAATCCCGATTCGCGTTTTTTTTTGCCCGAGAGGGTGTGAAATTAAAGGGGCAAATATTCTCCCCGATAATTTCACTCTCGAGGCGCGGTAAAGCTGTGCTGGCAGGGAATGAAAATGACTTGAAATGACCCTGGAAGTGTTGACGATCTTGAAAAATATTTGTATCCAATGAAAAACAGTCACGTCAGGATTGCGTTTATCCGTAACCCTGACCACAAATTCGAATTTGAGTGCCCACACCCAAAATCGAAGACCTAATCACAATTGGGTTGAAAATTCGACACTTTGCGTGGTTTGAAAGTAACATGCCTTTATAGCAAATGCAGTCCCGAATTTCCAACCCAAAGACTTGCAACGAAAATTGACACCTTGTGATTGACACAAATTTGGATGCGACCCGAAAGAATCACCAATCTCCCCCAATTCTCTGGGCTGCGGACAGTATAAATAGCGGTCATTTCTGCAGTTGTCAGCTCAATGATCCTTCACGGTTCGCCAGCTCGGCAGCCCAAAGCCTTTGCTGGTGATCCCGAGTCGGGGGGTGAAATTAGGGGGTGTGAAATTATCGAGAATAGGGTGTACCCTGAAATCGGCACAATGGTCAATTTAGTCACTCACGGGCAAAACGTTCGCGAGTGACTAAATTTCTAATTGTGGGGAGCAAATGTTTTGTGATAGGCTGAGCATCGACTGTACCTGCCAGGCGCAAACTTGCTCCGTCAAGTGATGGTGCAAGTGTAAGGAATTAAAATGACTACACAATAGTTCATGTTAGGCCCCTTAACCTAAATCCGCGAAGGAATAGCGGGGTTGACTAAATTGAGGATAAAGCGCGGCGGAAGGCTTTGGCGAAAGAAGAGTTGGCGACATAGGCGAAGAAGTTACTGAGCAATAATTGAATGAGAATTGGTTGACATGGCAAGTAAAAGCAAGGTTTAAGTAGCATGCAAGACCAATAGTTGGAAAGTAGTTTATGGGACAAATGATTGTTAAGCAAGAAGACTAGAGTGCCACGAGACACAAGGAAATAAAGGAAAACCCAAAGGGATTGGATGGAAATAAGGTTGGGATTGTGTTGGGGGACTGTTTAGGGTAAATAACCTTTGAACACTACCCCCTCCCAAGGAGGCGACGTCCGCGGCACCTGCAAACTGAAGGTACGCTTGGAGGCAAGCATTGTCAGGAGACAGTGAGGACGAAGGAAGCCAACTGTCGTCTGCTGCGTTGTAACCATGCCAACGAACCAAGAAGTCGATGAAAGAGACACCTCCCTGAAGACGACGACGGTGCCTGAGGATGCGCTGGATCTGGTAGTCGGACTCGTCGGGATCAATAGCTACCGGTAGTGGAGTGCGATCACGGCCCGATAATGTGGCGTTGGGATTGGTGTAAGGACGAAGAAGAGACACGTGGAATGACGGGTGCATACGGAAATGAGCTGGAAGGCGGAGGTGGTATGTGACTGGACCAAGTGCGCGCTCTATGACGAATGGACCAATAGAACGTGGACGAAGCTTGCTGTCCTATGGCAGTCGAAGGTTGCGGCAATCCAAAAGAGCACAGTCGCCGACTGCAAACAACACCTCACGACGACTGCGGTTGGTGATGCATGTCATGCGTACATTTGCGAGCTTAAGGTGCTTCCTCACGTGATCATGAATGAATGTGGGTGTGAGATCGACTTGAATGGAGACATTAGGGTGCTGACCATACAGTGCCAAGAACGGTGACATGCCTGTGGACGAGTGGTGTGTGTTGTTGTATGCGAACTCGGCCCTGCTCAGCTTCTTGTCCCATGCGGTTGCGTCGTGCATCGTGATGCTACGAAGGATCTACTCCAAGTTCTGGTTCACGAGCTCAGTCCGTCTGTCTGTCTCTGGATGGTATTCAAACGACATGGCTAAGCGAGTCCCAAACACTGCAAAAAGCTGCTTCCACAACTCCGAGGTGAATCTAGGGTCACGGTCGAAAATGATGGAGTCTGGAACCCCGTGCAGTCGGACTATGTTATCAACGAACAGCGTCGCGGCTTCCTCTGCTGTAACCTTGCCGTGCATGGGAAGCAGCTTGAGAAAACTTATCCACTACCACAAAAATGGCTTCGTGACCCCTAACTGTGCGAGGTAAAGCCATGATGAAATCCATTGTTACTACCTGCCAAGGTAGGTCGAGCGGTGGAATTGGCTGCAAAAGTCATGACTTGCGCTGTCGAGAGGACTTCGTACGCTGACACGTGTCACACGAGTGAATGTAATCCTCTACGTCTGCTGCAAGCCCTGGCCAGAAGTACGTGCAACTAAGCGTCTTAGCTGTCTTATCTGCTTCGAAGTGACATGCACTAACTATATCGTGCGCCTCGGAAAGAAGAAGCCGTCGAGGAGGGCGGTAGGCGGGAGCCCAAATCCGTACTGTCCCCTTCCGAATGTAGATACTACTCTGCACCTCTGCTCCTGCAGGCGGCTGCGGTGTGAATTCGGGATCTACTGTGTATCCGTGCTCGAAGATTGATGTGTGAAGTTGATGGCCGGCAGTGACTGTGAGGCTAGCGAGCTGACAACTAGGGCGAGTGAGCGGATCTGCTTGGTTGCGCACGCTTGGCTTGTACTCTATCCTGTAGTGGAAACTCCCCTCCATGAACTCCACCCATCAAGCCTGACGACGACTCAGCTGCAGTTGCAACTTGAGAGAGTGAAGCAAGCAATGGTCCGTGTGCATAACACCATCTGCCCCCTCTAGGTAGCACCTCCACACCTTATACGCATGGATGATCGCGAGTGCCTCCTTATCGTGAAGCAAATAACTCAACTCTGCTCCCCTCAGCTTATGCGACTCGTATGCGATCGGCTGCAACGTATGGCCTGATCCTGAAGAAGTACTGCTCCTATGGACTGATCCGAACCATCGGTCACTACAACGTATGGGCGAGAAGGATCCAAGTACGACAACGTCGGTGAAGACGTGAGCGATCGATTCATCTACTCGAGCGTCTGCTGCTGCACTGGACCCCGAGCGTAATCTACGCCCTTTCGAGGTAGGTCAATGAGTGGACTAGCGATGGAAGCGTAACCCTGAACGGAACGACAATAGTCATTAGCAAATCCCAGGAAGCTCTGCTCCTTGACCGAGGTCGGTGCCACCCAATCCTGTACGGTTGCGATCTTCTTCGGGTCGGTCCTAATGCCACTAGCGGAAATGATGTGGGTTAGAAATTCGACCTTTGGAAGGAAGAACTCGCACTTCGACTGCTTTGCGTACAGCTGCTCCCTCCGTAAGGCCTCGAAGACCTTCTGCAAGTGCAGCACATGCTCCTCTTTGTTTTCGAGAAGATGAGGAAGTCATCAAGGTAAACTACGACGAACGACCCTAGGAACTCGGAGTGGACGGTGTCAGAATGTGTAGTTTGTCTAGCATGCAGTGGGTTACTCTATAGCGAGTACAACCCAATTAGGGTTTCCTATGTGTATCTCAACTGCTGCTAGTGCAAATCCCCTTTCCTGTTCTAACTTTCTGCTACGATTCTGACATGCTATCAGGGCGGTCACGCTCCTAGCCTGTGGGCCCACCGTTAGCTTCCGCTGCTGTCCTGTCTGTCGCGCGCCCCGTGGCGCGCGACGTTTTTTCTTCCTGCCACGCGCTCCTGGCGCATGGCGGTTTTCTGCCTGCCGGGCGTTCGGGGCGCGCGGCGGTTTTCTGCCCGCCGTGCGCCCCGAGGCGCGCGGCGGTTACCTGCCCCGTCGAAGCGCCCCCGGAGGCCCGCGCGCCGTCCTCTCCCGTCGCCTCGTCGCGGCACTTTGGGGGCCCGCGCGCCGCCCCTCCCGTCGCCTCGTCGCGGCGCCTTGGCGGCCCGCGCGTCGCCCCCTCCCGTCGCCTCGTCGCGGCGCCCTGGAGGCCCGCGCGCCGTCCTCTCCCGTCGCCTCGTCGCGGCACTTTGGGGGCCCCCGCGCCGCCCCCTCCCGTCGCCTCGTCGC